AAAAAAAAAAAAAAAAAAAAAAAAAAAAAAAAAAAAAGAAATGAAGCAGACAATATCCAGGTGTCCAACAGGTTACACTGAATGTTTCTTTCATGACATTAATGTCCTTACTATGTATTTGGGAAAATTCAAAAGTTATTAAAAGTCTTCTTCTAAATAAATAGTCTTCTTTCAGAAATTTTATTTATGTATTTATTTATTTGGTGGGTGGCCAGCACAGGGATCTGAACCCTTGACCTTGGCGTTATAAGACCACACTCTAACCAAGTGAGCTAACCGGCTAGCCCTTCTTTCAGATATTTTAATCATGATAAAGTAATATGATGTAATAGAAATACAAGTATATATAGCACTGTAAAGTCTCATTTTCATGATTTCAATAATAAAGTTTTTCATGTGTCAGTAACTCAAAGTTTCTTTCCTTTAGGCTATTGCATTGCCCCCTATAGCCAAATGGCCATACCAGAATGGTTTTACATTTCATACGTGGCTTAGAATGGATCCTGTAAATAACATCAATGTAGATAAGGATAAACCATATTTATATTGGTATGTATTTCTGTAACTGACTAGTGTTAATATTTTCCTCTGAAAATGAGACGAATATTTAGAGGTAAAATGAAAACTTATTTTTAATAGTTTCAGAACCAGCAAAGGTCTTGGCTATTCTGCTCATTTTGTTGGAGGCTGTTTGATTATAACATCAATAAAATCAAAAGGAAAAGGCTTTCAACACTGTGTGAAATTTGACTTCAAGCCACAAAAAGTATGTGATCTTACTAAACTACAGTTGTGTTAAAAATCTATGCTAGCTTTCAAAGTACTTTGTTTTGATGTTAATTGAATAAATGTGCTAAATCACAACTCTTTTTATATTGTTAAAAAATTAAGTGTAAATCAATTGGACAACTGTTAACCTCTCTGATTTAGGAAATAAAAAGATTGGATATTTAGTTATTTACAGAGTTTGAGGTAGATACAAGAAGGTATCAATGGCAATTATTTTAGTTGTGCAAGGTTAATATTTTTTTTTGTACCTTAAACCATTTATTAATCTGTAAATTTTGTCAACTAAATGTGCAGATAGATAGGCATGTAGGTAAAAGCAAAAATGACAAAATGTTGGCAATTGTGGAATTTAGGTGGTGGGAAAGAGAGTGTTTATACTAGATTTTCAGTTTGTTTATTGATATTTTATATTTGAAAATTTTAATAATAAACAGCTGAAAAAATGGTTTAGATATTAAATTCTCATTAGTTAAGAGCCCCCCTAAATAAATATGTTCCAGAAGTTGGATATTGAATTTAATAAAGGTACTCGTATTTTATTTTTAGGTTTAATTATAATTTATCACTTAGTTTTTACCTATTATTATCAATATGGTTACATTGTTGGGAGACTCATTAATTTTATATTTTTTACTATTTTTTGCTTATTCAGTGGTATATGGTATCTATAGTGCACATTTATAACAGATGGAAGAACAGTGAGCTTCGATGTTATGTGAATGGTGAGCTAGCTTCCTATGGAGAGATAACATGGTTTGTCAACACCAGTGATGTAAGTAGTTTCAAAATGTTGTAGTGGAAAAAAAAAAAATTAAAAGCATGAACTTTTCAAACAAAAATATTTTAGAACTTGAATATGAATTTTGGAATACCACAATCGTGGATTTTTATAATCATAATTTGGCTAGCATGTTCATTTATTAATAAAATAGAACTTGTTAATATGTCACATAAGATATTACTCAGTCTGCATTATAAAATTATTCTGGATAGGGTAGAGATAAGGATTTGTAGGTACCAGTGGCTGTATCTTGACAGTGTTTGGGTTATTGTTGCATTGATGAGAATAAACAAGAGCTCCTCTACAGGGTTCTGATCACTTTCATGAATTAGTTAGATGATGCATGCTTATAATTTTGCATATAATTCTTAGCTGCTATAGATAAATATTTTAATGTTTCAGGATTCAAAAAGAGATTCATAGGTTAGAATGAACATTTAAAATGTTCTTACTTTTCTCCTAATTATGTTCTTTTTATAGAAAACTTGTAAAATACGGGCCGGCCCGGTGGCGCACTGCTATAGTGCGCCACTTGGGAAGTGCGGTGGCGCTCCCACCGAGGGTTC